AGGAGGAGCAGGAGGAGGAGGAGGAGCAGGAGGAGCAGGAGCAGGAGGAGGAGGAGGAGGAGGAGGAGGAAGGGTCACTTCCTGATGGTCTTTCCCGTGGTCCCTCAGACTCAGGTGGCCACCAAGAGACAGAGAGTGACGTCCGAGTTTGCGCACCTGCGCCAGTTCCTGGAGGAGCAGCACAGCCTGCTCTTGGCGCACCTGGAGCGGCTGGACGGGGACATCCTGAGGCAGCGGGACGAGTTTGAGGTCCTGGTGGCTGGGGAGCTGTGCCGCTTTAGCACCCTGATCACGGAGCTGGAGGCGAAGAGGGAGAGGCCGGCCCGGGAGCTCCTGACGGTGAGCCGCCTCCGCTCTGCCCTCTGGGCTTCTTAGGGCCTCTGGCGCCTTTGCTTTGGCTGAGCCGAGTCTCCTTCACTCGCGCGTCTCTGCATCCCCATGGAAATGGGCTGCAGGACCCGAAGTCCTGAGTTCTAGTCCTTGCTTCCCTGGCCTCGGCCTCTCCATCGCCAAACAGGAAGACACTTTCTGTACGGACTTCACAGGGCTTTGGGAGGATCCAGCAGTGAATGCAGGTGAAAGTAGCACTTTGAAAAGCATCGAGTACGCTGCATACAGGTGTCGGCTGCTACTTCCAAGGCAACCTATTCTCTGTGCCACTGCCCACCTGTCAGGAAGTTCCTCCTGGTCGATTTTGCTTCCTCCCACCAGAGGAGAGATATTGGGGTCGCAACAAAGCATCCGAAAGGCAGCTTGATTTAGGGGATACACTTGGGACTGAGAAACGGGAGACCTTGGGTGGGACTAGCCTTTGCCTCCAAGAGCAGGGGCAGGTCACTTCCCTCTCTGGAGCTATAAACAGAAGGGCTGTGTTCCATGATCTCAGGAGCTACTGTGAGTCTCTGGATCTGGATTCCTTTCTGATCCAGGGCTAAGAATGTGTATTTTGTCTGCTAGTTATAAGAAAAGTGGGAGGAGGAAGTGGAAACTGATCCCCTGCTCTCTCTCTCTCCTAGAACATCAGAAGCACTCTTCTAAGGTAAGATATCGTTGGCCTGTTCTCCTTTCCCACACACACGCACCATGAGCCCAGTGAGCACCATACAAATTTATGACATTCTCACATTTAGGATAAAAATTCATATGCACACTTTCACGTACTCAAATGCATTCCCATATACAGCGGTAGATACACACGCCTGCCTGGCACGTCCTGTGGCAACTGGTACCTCCATGCCCGGTTAGAAGAAGGTGGCTGGCTGAGTCTGGGGGTATTGCGAGAGAGGAGACTTCTCAACGTAATCTAAATGTGCCCTTAGATGTGAAGCCAGAAGGTGCCGGAAACCAGAGGCTGTGTCCCCCGAGCTGGGCCAGAGGATTCGGGACTTCCCCCAGCAGGCCCTCCCGCTGCAAAGGGAGATGAAGACATTCCTGGGTAAGCGCTCCCCAGGCATCTGCAGGCCCTGGGATGGGAAGCCTGGCCCCCACACCCCGCTGCCCGGCGCAGGTCACTCCCGGTAAGGCCCACGCCCGTCCCGTGCCTTGCTGTAGATCTTTATAAAATCTGCTTGTTGGGATGTTGCGACAATGAAAAGAAATACTAAAGGCGAAGGTTTCTGGGGAAAATGAACTGGTTTGCAACACACACACATATGGTCAGTTAGCATCAGGCAGTAAGAAAGATAGTGATTAGGAAGGAACCCGTACCCTTCGGGACAGCGAAGAGGGACCTGGAGAGCACTCCACTCAGTGACTAAGCCTGGGAGAGACGAGCGCTGTGAGAGCTCGCTCACGTGGAATGTAACAGCCAAACTGAATTACCAAGCAAAACACAGACTGACTCACAGGCAGAGAACAGGCAGACAGCTCGGGTGGGTGGGGGTGCGGGTGTTGGGTGGGTGGAGGGATTGAGCAGGAGAGTGAGAGAGAGGGAGAGAGAGAGAGAGAGAGAGGGAGAGCGAGCGCTCATGGACTTGGACAACAGTGTGGTTTCGGGGGTGGGTGGAGGTGGAAGAAGGCATAGAAGGGATAAATGGTGATGGAAAAATAAAATTAAATTAAAAATAAATAAATACATAAGAAAGATAATGATTAATAAAATCTATCATTCTCAGTTATTTAGAAACCCGCGGAAGCACTTGCAGGAGGCGATAGTTTCTGGTGATGAGCACTGTCAATGAGTAACCAGCAGCAATACTTCCCTTTGGCCCCGGGGTAGTCAGCTGCCTCCCTGCTCTTTCCCTGGCTTCCCTGTTACCTGGTCCTCAGAGTCAGACTGCCCCCGTGGGGACTGTGCCCCCTTTTCCGGAAAAGGGAGTGAGTGGCAGGAGAGGGCGTGGAGGATTTGACACGAGAGTCAGGAATTTAGCTATCAACACCTCCCCATCACGACATCATGAATGATGCCAATGATTTCTAAATGACCCACCCACAAAAGTGTCACCCTAGAAGAGCTTTCCCCATGAGATCACATCCTGCTAGTACTCCCAGTGACCTGGCAGTGAAAGCAACTTTAATCAAAAACTGACCTTTGTCACCTACATTTCCAAGCAGAGCAAGAAATAAATTAACCCACTCATCTATTCATTCAGTAGTTATTTTTCGAGCATTTACTATGTCTTCGGCTCTGTGCGGAGCACCGAGGACACAGAGCTGAGCCAGGCCACAGGGCACCGCCTGTTGGGGCTGGGGGTGGGCCTCAAAGGGGCTCCCAACCGGCAGTGGCAGCAGCCCCCGTGAGCTTGTCAGACATGCAGATCCTCAGCTCCACGCAGGTCAGCTGAGTCAGAGGCCAGTGTGCTCTGGCAAGTGCCCCAGGGGCTCTGACACGCTCAAGTCTTCCTCACTGGCCTGGGGGCTTCCAGGCCTCATTTCCTGTCCCTTCCCTTCTCTGGGCCTCAGTTTCTCCATCATTAACTGGTCTATGGTTTTTTGTGAGACTAATGAAATCTCATCCTGCTTTATTTCCTCTTTGCAGAAAAATTCTGCTGTGAGTTGGACTATGAACCTGGTAAGCAGCCTATGACTAGATGGGAGGGAAAGAGGAATCTAACATTGAAGAGGAACCCCCTCCCCCCCACACCATCATCACCTTTGTAAGCCTTGCCAGAGAACAGAAGACAGGCACTCCCCCTCCTGGCACTGAGCTGCTGTTCTGTCCACACGTGACGAGTGAATCCAAGCGGGACAGGTGTCCTGGGTGGGGAGCTTTGATCTGGGTTGACGGTCACTCCCACAACCATGGCCGAGCCCCTACTCCTTCGCAGGGGTTGGGAGGAGGGCTGCCGTGGGGGAGAAATGAGCAGAGTGGCCCTCACTCTGCCAGCCAGAGTTGTTGGGAGGGACGCTGAAACCCACGCACATATCTGAATTGGTCACTTTGTCTCAATTTATGGCACTAAAGTCACAGTGCACTGGGGTCTGCAGGTGCTTGTGTTGTTAGAAAGTGGTCCTCCGGCACTGGGGTTTTGGATTTACTGAGGTGGAATGACCTGCAGGAGCCAGCAGCAGAGCCTGGGTGGGCGTAAGTGTGGCCGCCGAGGGGCGGCTGCACCCTCCTCCCGAGTCCAGGTCCCGGGTCTAGATGCAGGAGGGGCCCACGTGTGGGCAGCCTCAGAGGACCACAGGGGACAGCAGGCCTCGAGGACGGGCNAGGGGTGGGGCGGCAGCCTCAGAGGACCACAGGGGACAGCAGGCCTCGAGGACGGGCTGACGGTCCCCGGAGCAGGCTTCTGGGGCTTCCCCGCCACCCATCACCAGTGGGCCTTGATAAACATACAGATCCCGGTTGAGGTGTTCTGGGGTGAAGCCTGAGGGCCTACTTCTCACAAGTTTCCCGGTCCTGGGTGCTGGTCCACACAGAACTGTTGTTGGTGACAATAATGCTAACAGGTGGGACTTTCAGGCATTTCCTGAAGGAGATGACATGTTTGCTGACATCTGTGACCCGTTTGGTTTCCCCACAGCTCACATCTCTCTAGATCCCCAGACTTCCCACCCCAAGCTCCTTTTGTCTGAGGACCACCAGCGGGCTCGGTTCTCCTACAAATGGCAGAACTCGCCAGACAACCCCCAACGTTTTGACCGGGCCACCTGTGTCCTGGCCCATGGTGGCTTCACAGGGGGAAGACACACCTGGGTGGTGAGTGTAGACTTGGCCCACGGGGGCAGCTGCACCCTGGGTGTGGTCAGCGAAGACGTGCGGAGGAAGGGAGAGCTTCTGCTGCGGCCAGAGAACGGGGTGTGGGCCATGAGGTTGGCCTGGGGCTTCGTCTCAGCCCTGGGCTCCTTCCCCACACGTCTAGCCCTGAAGGAGCAGCCCCGACAGGTGCGGGTGTCTCTTGACTATGAGGTGGGCTGGGTGACCTTCGCCAATGCTGTCACACAGGAGCCCATCCACACCTTCACTGCCTCCTTCACCCAGAAGGTGCTCCCCTTCTTTGGGCTCTGGGGCCGGGGGTCCAGTTTCTCCCTCAGCTCCTGAGACGGTCAAGTTAACTTCTTCGGAGTACAGGGCTCAGAGAGGACCCTATGGACGCAAGCCCCAGCTGGGTCCCCTGGGAGACTTGACACGGATATCACTGCTTTAGTTGATAGAATGGTGTCATGGCTTGGGCAAGAACAAGGTGAGGGAACCTTCAATCTGCTGGCCAAGCCCTGTGCTCAGTGCCCAGTAGATGGTCAGGGTGTCGGGGGACTTGGGCCACTAGCAGCTTCCCCACCACCATCCCCACCAGCGCCGAAGCAGCTATGTAGAGAAAGGAATCCCAAATGTGTAGCCAGAAGACTGGGTTCTAGTCCCAGCCTTGTAACCAACGGACTGTGCAATTTAAGCAGGCATCTCACCCCTCTTCTTGTTTTCTTCCCAAAATATTAGGGTTTATTGACTTGTAGCCTCAAGAAGCATTTATTGTGTATTAATTATGAACCTAGCAGGATGGTACCCATTGGTGATATGAAAATAAAAAGAAAAAAACCATGTCCCTTGTCTGAAGGCGCATGTGGGAAGAGACAGACATGAAGAGGAGTTACAGCAGCAGGTGGTGGGTGCTATGCTGGGGTGGGACCTGGGTGTCAGGAGCTCAGAGGAGTGGCCGCACCCACCTTGGAGAGCAGGTTGTGAGTAGAGCATGGCTTCCTGGAAAGGCGAGTCTAAAAGATGAGTGTGGTGAGTGAGGAGACAGGGGAGCATCTTAAGAGGAAGGGATAACAGAACTGGCAGGATGATCGTAACCCACAGGACGCTAGATCCTTTCCACTGTTCTGACCAGCTGCCGTCCCCACCCCTGGCACCGCCCAATGCTTCCCTCCTCCTGGTGGTGTCACGTCTGGCTGAGATGAAGGTGCAGGGCCCCAGTGGCAGTGGGACCAGGCATGGCCATAAACCATAACCCAAGGGCCACATCCAACCCTTGGGAAAAATCCTTTTCCTGATCTGTTGGTCACCACCTGAGATGGAGAAATGAAAGGAATGAGATGGTGGGAAGAAATGAGCCTGAAAGAGCTCGGTGGGGAGAGCAGAAAGAGCAGCATCTTAACCCTGGTGCTGGGCAAAGAATCCCAGGAGGAGGCAGGGAACAAAGTCAACCTGTGACCTTCAGCCCAAAGAAAGGAGGCTGCTCGGGGGCTGGACAAGGAGTGACAGCTGAGGGACGAGATGGAAGAAAGAAGAGAACTGGGGTTTGGAGATGTGTGAGTCTGGGTGGAGAGCTCCAGGAGACAGAGGAAGCCGGGGGTGTTGGGGGAGGCTGTGGCCAGGTGTGGGGTGAGGAAGCTGAGTGCTGGTGACCCCAGAGATCCCCTGCCCAGGGCTGATTCTGGGGCAGGGACTAGCAATCACACGCGGCTGCTGGAATTTAGAAAATGATTTCAGTTTCCCAAGGTGTAATTTTAAATCTTATGTACAATAAAAATATTGTCTTAACATTTTATTTTCTAAGTCTTGTTGGTATTGTGTTGGTATTGTCTTTTATTCTGCTTAAACATCTTCGTGGACAGTCTCTTTAACACCATCTGTTTATTCTGATCAGACATAAACTACAGTGTTCTCTCATCTCCCCACTGGGCCCCTGGGAGGAGTGACCCATCCTGGTGGCGGCCCCGGCGTAGAAGTCCTCGGAAAGTTGTACTGTGCAGGCTCAATTCGGCAGATAGAAAAGATGTGGAGACTAGGAGCCAGGGGCTGGAGGAGGACTGGATAGCTTTCCCTGGGCATGCTCAATATTTTATATAAAATGCTATGTATTAAAAAAACTAGATGCATACAAATCCCTATGCAACAATAAAACATATTCAAAGCCCCCAAATCTGAGATTCCACCAAAGAGTGGGTTGTATCTTCCTGTTTCCTCTTTCTGGTTTTAGCTGGGCCCTTTAGCATGACTGCGAGCCTCGGGGGTAGATGTGCGGGAAGCTCCCGGCCGGAGGGGCGGGGCTTTCACACACACTGTGGCTGATCTGGACCACTCTATGACACGGCTTCTGTAATCATCCCCATTTTAAAATGAAGGGTGGAGCCTACTGAGTTTGGTTTTTTGCTCAGCCAAGGTCACGCAGCCAGGATTTTAATCCGAGCCTAACCGGCTCTTTGCCACGGTGCCACACTGCTTTGCTCGGAAACTGGTCCCAGTGGGTCCTGGTGAACGCTGTAGTGCTGGCCACGCCCTGGAGTGACTTGGATCGGAAAGATGATTTCTATTTCTTACACTGAGAAATAAAATTGCCAGGGCGTAAAAACACTCATGTTGCCTATCAGCACCTGCTCCTCTCCAGGTTTACCCGTTTGGAGTGCGGAGTCAGCCCGGAGGAAGTGGATAGGCCCCTGGACTCGATGACTTCAAGACAATGCAGCGCTGCTTGTCCGAGTCTGGACTCAGGGCTCCCTTCCAGGGAGATGCTGAAGGCGCCCGCGACCACTGGGCCCTCCAGGACTCTGAAGGAGAGGCGCACGCTGGCCGAGGCGCCGGCGAGCTTGCACCTTGCTCTGTCACAGCTTACATTGCAGCAGCTCTCTCTAGTACAATGGAAACTCGCTCATGTTAGTTCAAATAATAGAAAAGTTTATTACAAGAACAGACGTATGAATAAGGAAAGTGAAATTTTCTGTCATTAGCCAGGCCTTGTGGGCAGCAGTGGTTGGGGTGGTGGGAGTCGGGGTGGGGGAGCACCACCAGGTCTCTGCTGAAGACTGGAGATAAATGCCAGTAACTTATATGCATATATGCATAACCCATAGACACAGAAACTAGTGTGGTGAAGGCCTGGGGTGGGGAGTGGATGTGGTGTGGAGGGGATCAGTGGGAGGAAAAGGGGACATCTGTAATACTTTCAACAATAAAGATAAATTTTAAAAATAAAATAAAATGCTAATAATAATAACAAACACATCTAGAGCTCACTTTGGCTAGTCACTGCAACAAATATTTTATATATTAACACATTTAATCCTCACAACAACCTTAGGAGGTAAGTACTATTATTAATATCCCCATTTCATATATGAGAGAGCTGAGGCATGTGGAGGTGACTGATGGGTCCCCAGCCAGCAGGCAGTGCACAGCTCAGCAATATTATGCTGTGTGTTGGGCAGTAACCGCGTATTGGGATTCAGGTGGTGTGGCTCCAAGTTTGTGCTCCTGACCATATGTAACACTGCCTCTGTGTGTCCAGGAACTGGGAGAGAGGACTTGGGGTCCAAGAAAGCTTAGAGGTTAGACCATCTTGTGGCCACTTGCAGCCCAGGTTGCAGACCTTTGCTCCCCATGGTGCCCCGGGTGCAGCTGCTCTGCCCTCGACTGCGGGCGTAGAGAGACACTTTGAATTTCCCAGAGAATCTGATGTTCCATGAAGAATTACTGTCCCTCTTTGATAAGATTTTTTTCAGCAGTCACTTCAGAGGCTTGATTGGTCAACTGCCTGCTGGTCAGAAACCCACCCTCCCAATCAGCTGTAGTCTCACCAGGAGAGGGCAGGGGCTGGGGCCACCTGCAGGGGTCTGACTCTGGTGGAGAGACCCTTGGAGCTTGTGAGTCTCCTCGCACACCTGGCAGGACACTTTTGCTCAAATTCTCTGTGTAATGTTAACCCATCTAGGAGTCAGGAACTGTTAGCTGTCACCTCCAGGCCTGTTCTTTCCTTGGCTATTGTCTTGTTAGGTTTGGGGTCTCGTGTTTCCAGCTTCCTGCCTAGTAATTATACCTTTTATTCTGAACACCTTCACCAGGATCTTTCTCCTTTACCCTCACCCCAGCCCCACTCCCTGCCCCAATCCATCTGGCACCAGAGTCCAGACTGGGTTTCCCCACACACCACTTACTCCCTGCACTCTGGACTCAAACCCAGGACGACTGTCTATGCATTGGTGTCACTTACCTGGCTCTCTGCTTCACACCGGTCTTCCCCCTTCCTGAACATTCCAGACTAACGGGTCAGTCTCCTTACCGTCTTGCAGGAGGGGCTTTCCCACCTCGGCTCATTTGTGGAGCTCTCCAGACCTGGAGGCTCTTGTCTTTCTCTCCCAGTGTCCAGTCCCAGCCCCTGCAAAGCCAACCCTGACTTTCCCATCCTCACTCACATCTCTCCTCTGAATCCCCACAGCTCTCAGCAGCCGGGACACATAATCTAACCCTTTACACACCCTCTTGTTAATCCACATGTGTTTGCCCTGCTCCACAGCTAGAGCATAGCTTCTGGGGTGGAGAAGTAGGGTAACAAGAGAATTACCACACTCAAAGGTTCACCAGAGGCGAGGTACTGCAGGGCATACAACCTTTCATTCTTCTCACAGTCCTGGCCACAGGTGCCCCCACTCCATTTTAGAGGAGGTGACACTGAGCACCACCCAGGGTTACAGAGGAATTAGGTATCAGGACTGGGATTAAATTTAAGTCAGATTTTCCCTCATGGTCCCACCAGGCAGCATTTCCTTGTGGCCATGCTTTATCCTTCACACCCTTCAGTGCCTAGCATAGTGTTGACTACTTCAGCAAGGGCTCAATTCATACTAGTTAGAGTTTCCCTTTGTTAAACATAGAGCATCAAGAAATTTCCCTTAACACCACATGTTAGGGCACAAGGCAAGTCTCTACAAATATAAGAAGACTGAAATCATATCAAGCATCTTCTCAGATCACAATGCCATGAAACTAGGAATCAACCACTATAAAAAAACTCAAAAATATTCAAACACATGGAGGCTAAATAGCATGTTATTAAACAATGAATGGGTTACCAAGGAGATCAAGGAAGAAATCAAACACTTCATGGAAAGTAATGAAAATGAACAGACAACAACCCAAAACCTATGGGACACGGTGAAAGCAGTCCTGAAAGAAAATTCATGGCATTACAGGCCTATCTCAAGAAACAAGAAAAAGATCTAGTGAACCATCTAACACAACAACTAAAAGAACTAGAATGAGAGCAGCAAGAAAAGCCCCGAGGAAGTAGAAGGAAGGAAATAATAAAGATCAGAGCAGAGATTAATGACACAGAGACTAAAAAAACAATACAAAAGACCAATGAAACCAAGAGCTGGTTCTTTGAAGAGGTAAATAAGATTGATGCACCTCTAGCCAAACTCACTAAGAAACAAAGAGAGAGGGCCCAAATAAATAAAAACAGAAACGAAAGAGGCGATGTAACAACTGACCCAACAGAAATACAAAGCATTGTAAGAAAATACTATGAGCAACTATATGCCAACAAACTGGACAACATGGGTGAAATGGACAAATTCCTAGAAGCATACAACCTTCCAAAGCTGAATCAAGAAGAGGCAGAAAACCTGAATAGGCCCATAACAACTAATGAAATGGAAGCAGTAATCAAAAAACTTCCAGCAAACAAAAGTCCTGGACCAGATGGATTTACAAGAGAGTTTTAACAAACATTCAAAGAAGAATTAAAACCTGTTCTATTCAAACTATTCCAGAAAATTCAAGAGGAGGGAAAACTCCCAAACGCTTTTTATGAGGTCAGCAGCATCCTANGTAAACTCAAAATGGATAAGACTTAAATGTAAGTCACGAAACCATAAAAATCCTGGAAGAAAACATAGGCAGTAAAGTCACAGACATCCCACGCAGTGGACTTTTCACTGATNCAAAAGATCATACATCATGACAAAGTGGAATTTATTCCGGGGATGCAAGGCTGGTACAACATCCGCAAATCAATAAATGTGATCCATCACATAAACAAAATGAAGGACAAAAATCATATGATCATATCAATAGATGCAGAAAGAGCATTCGACAAAATCCAGCACCCATTTCTGATAAAAACTCTCAGCAAAGTGGGAATAGAGGGATCAGACCTCAACATAATAAAGACCATATACGACAGACCTACAGCGAACATCATTCTTAATGGGCAAAAACTAAAACCATTATCATTAGAAACTGGAACAAGACAGGGATGTCCACTTTCACCACTCTTATTCAACATANGAGAGGATGTCCAAAAGACACATGAGAAAATGCCCAACGTTGCTGATCATCAGAGATGCAAATTCAAACCTCACACCTGTCAGAATGGCTCCATCAACAAATCAACAAACGACATGTGCTGGGAGGGTGTGGAGAAAGGGGGACCTGGTACACCGCTGGTGGGAATGCAGACTGGTGCAGCCACTGTGGGAAACAGTATGGAGGTTCCTCAAAAAATTAGAAATGGAGCTGCCGTTTGACCCAGTGATTCCACTCCTAGGAATGTGTCCTAAGAATCCCGAAACATTCATCAGAAAGAATATATGCACCCCGATGTTCATAGCAGCGCAGTTTACAATAGCTAAGATCTGGAAACAGCCCAAGTGCTCATCAGTAGCTGATGGATAAAAAGCTGTGGGACATTCACACCATGGATANGTTAATATTAAAATGTCCATACTACCCAAAGCAATTTATAAATTTAATGCAATTCCTATTAAAATACCAACAGCATATTTCACAGACCTAGAACAAACATTTCGAAAATTTATATGGAACCAAAAAAGACCCCGAATAGCTGCAGCCATCTTGAGAAAAAAGAACAGAGTGGGAGGGATCACATTACCAGACTTCAAACTGTATTACAAAGCCACTGTAATCAAAACGGCCTGGTATTGGTACAACAACAGGCATATAGATCAATGGAACAGAACAGAGACCCCAGAAATAGACCCACGCCATTATGGTCAGTTAATATTTGACAAAGGAGGCAAGAGTATCCAATGGAGTAAAGACAGTCTCTTCAATAAGTGGTGCTGGGAAAATTGGACAGATACATGCAAAAGAATGAAACTAGACCACCAACTTTCACCATACACAAAAATAAACTCAAAATGGATAAAAGACTTAAATGTAAGTCACGAAACCATAAAAATCCTGGAAGAAAACATAGGCAGTAAAGTCACAGACATCCCACGTAGTGGACTTTTCACTGATACATCTCCTAGGGCAAGAGAAACAAAAGAAAAAATAAACATATGGGACTACATCAAACTAAAAAGCTTCTGCACAGCAAAAGAAAACAGCCTCAAAATACAAAGGAACCCCACGGTCTGGGAAAACATATTTGCCAAGGATGTATCTGATAAGGGGCTAATTTCCAAAGTGTACAAAGAACTCATAGTACTCAGCAAGAGGAAGACAAACAACCCAATTAAGAAATGGGCAAAGGACTTGAATAGACACTTCTCCAAAGAGGACATACGGATGGCCAAGAGACACATGAGAAAATGCTCAACGTCGCTAATCATCAGAGAGATGCAAATTAAAACCACAATGAGGTATCACTTCACACCTGTCAGAATGGCTGCCATCAACAAATCAACAAACGACATGTGCTGGCGAGGGTGTGGAGAAAGGGGAACCCTAGTACACTGCTGGTGGGAATGCAGACTGGTGCAGCCACTATGGAAAACAGTATGGAGGTTCCTCAAAAAATTAAAAATGGAGCTGCCGTTTGACCCAGTGATTCCACTCCTAGGAATGTATCCTAAGAATCCTGAAACATTCATCAGAAAGGATATATGTACCCCGATGTTCATAGCAGCACAGTTTACAATAGCTAAGATCTGGAAACAGCCCAAGTGCCCATCAGTAGATGAGTGGATAAAAAAGCTGTGGGACATTTACACCATGGAATACTACGCAGCTGTAAAGAAGAAGAATCTCGTACCCTTTGGGACAGTATGGATGGACCTGGAGAATATTATGCTAAGTGAAATAAGCCAGGCAGCGAAAGACAAATATCACATGATCTCGCTTATACGTGGAATCTAAAGAACTTAATAAACTGATGAACAGAATAGATTCAATGACATGGAAGCATAGATGAGACTGATGAATGTCAGAGGGATGGAGGAGGGCGGGTGGGTGGAGGGGGAGAGAGTAACCAAAGAATTTATATGCAGATATACACAACCCAAGGACATGGACAATGGTGGGGAGAGGGACTGGGGAGAGGGAAGGAACGGGGTGGAACGGTTCATTGGGGAGAAAAAGGGACATCTTTATATTTTAAACAAAAATAAAATTTAAAAAATTAAAAATAAGTACCTTGTAAGTACCAAAATGGAAAGATCCCCAGGGCATATTGTTAAATTAAAAAAGCAGAGTTCAGAAAAAAAAATTTAAAAAAAGAAATGGCCCTTAGCCCGGCCAGGCGTGGCTTGGCGGTTGAGCATCCACCTAGGATCTAGGAGATCGCAGTTGATTCCTGGTCAGGGAACATGCGCAGCTTGTGGGCTCCATCCCCAGTCGGGGGTGTGCAGGAGGCAGCTGATCAATGACCCTCTCATCATTGATGTTTCTATATCTCTCCGTCCCTTTCCCTGCCTCTCTCTGAAATCAATAAAGATATATGTAAAAAAAGAAAAAAAGAAAAAAAGAAATGGCCCTTATACTTTCTATTAATTCGTTGATGCATCACTGGGCACCAACTAACTAAGAGCAGGCACTGTCTTAGGCACTGGGGACACACAGACAGAATTCTATTCTTATCCAACAAGTGATGCACAAATAATTAATGTACAAATGTACTGGATATCCATTGTTCCATAAAAATTACCACGAATTTAATGTCTCAAAATAACATACATTTATTATGTCACAGTTTCTGTGGGCCACAAATCTGGGTCCTCTGTTTCGGGTCTCACTAGGCTGCAGTTGAGATGTCAGCTGGGTCTAGTTCCCACCTGGAGGCTCAACAAGGGAAAAATCACTTCCAGGTTCACTTAAGCTGTTGATAGAATTCATTTTCTTGCAGCTGCAGCATGAAGGGCCCCTGCTTCGCGTGGGCTGAAGGCGGGGGCTGTCAGCTCCTGGAGGTTGCCTGCAGGCCACAGGGCCACTCGCTGGTCAGTCCCACAGGGCGGGTCTCAAGAGGGAGTCACTGAGGTAACATTCCATGCCCTTTGCCTAGGCCACGACTGGAGCACCTGCCAGGGCCTGCTCACACCCCAGAGGAGGGGTCACAGGAAGGGCATGGCGCAGGAGGGGAGAAGCGGTGTAGCCCCCTCGAGTCTGTCCCCCGCGGGAATAAAACGTGCCAGGTGAACGGGACAGATGGCGGGCGCGCCCGGAACTCAGAGGGCATATTCCTTCCCACAGACCTGCCAGCTCCCTGGGCAGAGGCGGCCTCCCCGCCCGGGCACGTGCCAGCCGGGCGCAGGGAAATCCTGCTGCGCGAGGCTGCGGGAGCCCGCACGCTGACTGCCCTGGGAGCACGCGCGGGAGGAACCGGCTGTGGGGATGCGGAAAGGGGCATGTTCGGGAGGCGGCAGGCCGGAAGGGGCACGCGTGGGCCCAGGGGAGGCTGGGCAGGTCGGAGGAGGGCGGGCAAGGAGGCTGAGGTGAGGCTGAGGTGAGGTCGCCCAGGCACGAGCAGGCCCGAGCGGCCAGGATGGCCGAGGAGGTCACTTGTCGACTCTCTTCTGAAACTTGGGGTAGAGAGCCTCTAACTCTTGTGGCGCACTCCTGGAAACAAAGAAGACCTCGCGTCCCCCGCTGCGCCCTCCCGGGTCGCGTGGTGGGAAGGCGCGGGGGGGAGCGGGCAGCGGCCCGCAGGGGTAAGCACCCGTCAGCAACTCACTGGCGTCCTAGGAGAGACGAAGAGGGCGGGGATCGCACTGGTTCTCAGGTTCCTGCCACCTCCAGTCCCTCCCCAGTCCGCCCCTGGACGCCTCGCGGGGAGCCACTGTGAGAGCGGGGACCC